TTGACGGTCAGGTCTTTGGCTGCGCTGCCTTTTCTCTCAACCATTTGGGTTTTGACTTCGGGAGATGATGGGGGTCTGATGAACGGGTCAGGGCGCAGGGACACTTAGAGGTTCATGGGTCTTTGTATGTGGGGTTATAAGTCGGGTAACTACAGCTATAAGCCCTCTTAGGGTACTGATAGCCATTACATAAAAAGAACCTTGAACCTCCAAGTAGAGGGATTAAGGATGGGATTTGTGATGCCTGAAACGGTGATTTGCCATGCCAAGCTCTCATCCGGTTAACATGTTCACTGCATCCCGGCGCGTCATCGTCGCCACCCTAAACCCTAAACCCAAAACCCTAAACCCAAAACCCCAAACCCTAAACCGTGTGGGGTTCATGAGGCAACAGGCGCAATCACCTTTGATGCAGGCCGGGAAGCTCGGGCAGCCGGATGCTTCCCCCCCACCGAAAATTTCGCGCTGCTATCGTATCCGTACGCCCTGAAACCCACACCCTGAACTCTAAACCCTAAACCCTGAACCCTACCTGACGTGCCTGACGACATTAACCCCAAAGAGGTTGATTCTCGAAGCTCAAAAACCCCAAACCCTAAGCTACACATCCCTCAGCTCTCCCGCGGGCTCTGGAAACAAGCTCTGGGAGCTGGAGTCACGATCAGGGGTTACCGTAAGTAAGGGTTTTTTATATGCTAACCCTAAACCCTAAGCCCTATGCCCTAAACCCTAAATCCTAAACCCTAAACCCTACTATGCTTTAGGTTTCAGGATAACTTGAAGGTTGGGCCTGCTAGCCTTCGGGCTTGAGATTTTGTGCCTCAGGTGGTTTATGCCCGTCTTCGAGATTTCTCCCTCGCCTGTGCAAATATGAGACAGTATACCTGTACACATTAAGCCTTATTGTCTCGTTATTAAGGTGCTCAATCATCCCAGTCTAGGGATTTACTTTGTTGAGAGAAGGAGCTGCAGCCACGAGACTTACCGCATTATTGCCAGGTCGCTTATTGGGATTAAGGGCCGGGGAGGGGTCGCATGAATCCAGAAAATGAAGTCGTGGTGTGGTTGTACAGTAGTATGCCTCGAACCCGTGTGCTAATTCGTCGGCAGTCAACATCCCCTACATAGAGCCCCGCAAACCCGAAACACGAAACCCCAATCCCTAAGCCCTAGCCTTGAGTCCTAAGCCCTCAACCCTCAACTCTAAACCCTAAACCCGGAACGCGAACCCGCAGAACCTGAGCCCGGGAGCTTACACCTTGATGGGAGCCTTTCAGCCCCCAAGCATTCAGTTCCAAACCTTCACAATTAGAATAGGGTTTCGGTGTCTGTTGTGGAACTTCCAAACTAGTACTGGTGACTATTGAGGCCCCTACATGAACCCTACACCCTGGCTAGCCTAAGACCCCAAATTCTTCACTGGAACTAAACCCTATAGCAACCCTTCCGTTAGTCCTTGTCATGGCCCTTATCCCAGATCGTTAAAGAAGCCCCTAAAGGAGCCCTACGACCCGCATAATTATGCCTAAGTAATCGCCAATATTATTTCCTTTAGGGCTCCTTCTTATACTCCTACTAGGAAAGAGCCCCGTACAGTAAGTGATCTGCTGTCTTTCTTTGCAGGCTCTGCGCCCCACAAAGCAGCAGCTAATTGAGGCTCGGGGAAGGCTTTCATCATTGGGTTCTACCGGGCTTTTGAGGCCGTTGTAGTTCCATTGAGCTCTTGCAGGGCTTTATACTTGGAGGTTCATGGGTATTTATAAATAGCGTTACAAGTTTCCTGGTGGGGCTTGTAACTATAGTTGCCCTACTTCCACTTATGACTACACGTGAACCTCCAAGTATGGTTCTTCAGGGTTTTGCCAGGCCTTCTTCAAAGGTGGCTATACCGGATTTCGGCACAGACAAGCTGAAGCAGGAGAGGCAGGCTTAACATAGGGGCCTAGATATTTACCTTTACTATCTGTGGATCCACATATCTGTGGAGTTGCTTACTATAATTTCAGCATCATGGGCCCCAAAACCGTACTCTAATTATGAAGGCCCCCATTGTACGCTTTCCGAAAATCTAACGCATTGATTAGGAGCTCGCCTTTGAAGCGTTGCAGACATCGTAACTTTGAAAGCCTAAGCTTAAGCCCTGGAGCCTTCTAGATCTTCAACCCGAAGTCTAGAATCCTGAGACACAGCCTACACCCAAAAGACCCTGCAAGAAAGAACGGGATCAAGCTCCCGTAAGGGTTTAGGGTTCAGTTAAAGGTTCGGAGCGTCGGTTCCTTGAAGGCTACTTATTATGACCGTGCTTACGGCTTGCCTGCGAAGTTCCCATGATCTTTCAAGTCCACCATCAAGCCCTCCCATCACCGAAGATCCGGACAGGGTCGCTCCGCTCCGTGAGCCTAGAATCTAGAAGTCTTAGCCCTACCGGCAGGTCAAACAACTTGTTGGATGTGATCTGGGGTTTAGGGTTTGTTGAGAAAGAGCTGAGGCTGCGGTTCCGTGGGATGGAGTGTAAAAAACCAAAACTTCGGTCTCATGTAAGTCGTCTGCACACTGCATACTTCTTTGGCCGCAGCTGGGTTGGGCTCAAAAAAAATTCAGTTTCCCGGTGAGCCTCGTTTTGTCCCCCAGCACCGTTCTCAGCAGTGCTACTGTCTTGGGCGTGCAAAAGTTTGGCGCTAGTTAGGCCTTTGGCACGTTTCAAGTCTGTCCTTGTTCGGGCTTAAGACGATCTTGTTTACGAGTTTTGCCAAAGGCTTTAAAGGGCAACCTAGTATAGGCTCAGGGGTTTTTGCTTTACCATTATCTCCAGTCGACGGTCTTTGGATTCTGCGGCGTTGGACGGGGGTGTTTCAGAAGTTCACCGTTCCAGGGCCACTTGGGCTTGACATGCCAGTGTCAAACCTCGGACATAGCATGCAGGGTTTTGGCATGTAGGATGACGGATGTGCCCAGAACCCTCAACCCTAGCACCTAAGGTCTAGCGTACAGCGTAATACCAATGTTTCCGGAGATCGAGCGCTTGTAGGAAGCCCGCAGCTCGAGAACAGAAGACATCACTACAAAGTCTTACGGTCTAGGGTTTGGGATACTTGTTTTGTACCAAACCATGCTACCCTGAACCCTGACAGCTAGACCGTAAACCCTCAACAGAGCCATCGCAAGCTAATCATCTAAGACATGAGTTCACCTGTCCACCAGGCGGAACGGGGGTAGAGGACTTCAACTCGAGCTCAGGCTTGCTGTATGGGTTCCTTTAAGGGTTATTCTCAGCGTTATTGCACCGGGGCTACCACAAGGGTCCTTCCCTGTCTTATTCCCGAGGTGCAGCCTTGAAAGGCCCTCTAAACACCAAGCTGGCACCTAAACACCCAAACCGACGGTTTAGGGTTTAGGGTTAGGGCCCAAACCCTTAAACGCTTAAGCCCCCGCAGCCCGGTAGACAGACAAAAACTATCAAGCACTCTAACGCCCTTAGCTACATCTTTTGAAGCCAGAAGCCTTCAGACCAAAACCATTAGTTAAGCCCTTACAGCCCTTGACCCCAATCCCAATGTAGGGGCCTTAAAACAGAGAGGGGTTTGGGGGGTTCCTTGTTCTAGTTATAGTCTCATGGGCCCCTCAACCTTTTTTTGATTATTAAGGCCCCTATATCATGGAACCCTCATAGTAACCCTCATAGACCCCTTCTTTTAAGGAACCCTTTAAGGGAACCCTATTCTAATTATTAAGGCCCCCCCCCTATGTTACTGGCCCTGCTATCTGATCCGCAAAGCCCAGGCAGCTTTGTGTTAATGGCGGTCGTCGTGCCGCGAAGCTTTCGTCTGTTGGATGAGCTGCCGGTCTCAAAAGAGGTTTCCCCTAAATCCTGAACCCCCAACCCTAAACTCCTAAACTCCTAAACCCCCAAGCCCTAAGCCCTTGGGTTTCGGGTTTGTTGGATCAGCAGTTTGGTTTCATGCTTTGATCTTCAGATGAGAAGCCAATGCTAAGGCGGTGATTGGCACTGCATTGGTCTTGGATAAGGGTGATCATAGTCATGGTCGTTGTTGATCATGATTTTGGTGAGGGGAGGTGTGTCGAGGGGGACAACGGCGAGGACTAAGATGTAAAGGAAAGGACCCAAACGTTGTTCAGGGCAAACCCCTACGCACACCCAACAGTCCCAGTCCCTGACTTCGAGCGGCGCCCAGGCCCTGCACTCTAAACTGGCAGCCCCTAAGCTCTAAACTCTAACCACTCCGCCCGAAACACTGCATCCGAAATCCTCAGGTCTAAACACCCCAATGTACAACCCGTAAACTCTAAAGTATCCACACTGCACCCTGAACTCTGAGCTCTAACCCTAAATCCTAATGTCAACTCTGAGCCTCGGCCGCATGAAACCCGAACTCTCTACGCATTCCTTAGCCTGCAAATTCTAACCCTAAACTAACCTTAGGGGTACTTAGAAATCTTTTTCATTTTTGGTTCTTATAATCCCTAAGAAGCAGCTAGAATTATGATTTTTGCTAGGGTTCTAAGTTCAGTATAGTAACTTATATAACCCTGAACCCTAAACCCTAAACCCTCAACCCTGAACCCTCAACCCTTAACCCTGAACCTTCAACCCTAAACCCTAAGCCCTAAAGGAAGCATCCTCTGATTCCCAGGCTTGAGAAGGGCCAGAAGGGCGAAGCACTCGGCGGGGTGTGTCGGCCTCGGAGGGGAGCCTCTTGCTTATGTGGGTGGTTGTCAAAATTAGGGGCCCCTTTTTGGGGGTGCCCGAAATAACAGGTGCCGTATTATGAAATTGGGACCCAAAAAAGGGACCATAATTTTGAGAACCACCCATGTGTGGGCAAACCCTGTGTTAGTAGAGTTGGGCCTGCGTAAAGACTCGCTTTTTACGTCGTTCAAGACTTGTGGTGGAGGTATATGGAATTCGCAGGTCAAGTCCGGACGCAGCCAGGCTGTTTAAGGCATCGTACCCCCGCCAGCATTCCCCGACAGCGCCCATCATGAAGGCATCACGTCTCCTGTCCGCTTTGCTGCTCATCGGCGCGGCCTCTGCTCGAGGAAGTGCTACGGTCTCTGTGAGCGTCATTGCTTTGGGGGTAGTTGGCGTGTCTGGGAGGAGCAGACGAAGGAGGGCGCAGACGGTGTGTGATGAGGTTCCAGTTGTAGTGGAGGATGGTCCACAAAAGCAATGCACTCCCGTTACAAGGAAGCGGACGGCCCTGAGGAATGTGACCAAATTCAAGGACGGCATGAAGAACGTGACCATCTTTGAGAAGGCCACCAGATATGTCAACCGCACGGAATGGGTTGAATATCAGCTTCCCCTTGAAGACTTCTTCCCCGAGGCAAAGCAGCAGATCATCAAGGAGACGCGGGAGTCACTACGAGACCTTACTTCCGCAAGCCTGAGCACGGAGACGCCGGTTCCCTTCAACTCTTCGGAAGGCGGTGCTGAGGCGATCGTCACTTGGGGACCCAGTCAGGCGGCGAAGTCCACCATGGTCTGCCAGCTCAAGAAGTCCAAGGATGCGGCCTGCCCGGAGGTGGGCGACGGCAGCGGGGAGTCCACAACGGCTACGCCCCGGCTTTGGGAAACGATCATCGGGTACGTTTGTGACACCCCCGGTGGCCTGGATACCCAACTTCGCTTCAGTGCTGAGGATGTGGGCCGCTGGGTGGCGACCGCCCTGGCTGAAGGTGGCGTTCGGCGTGTGAAATTCCTGGTCTTTGACAGCATGTCCAACGACCTTATGTTGCTGCGCGAGACGCTGTCTGCACTCTTCACGTCCTTCGGCACCGATGCCAAGCACGGAACCATCGTCGTCGCATCCAAAGTGAACCTCGCTCCAGGCAGGGCCAAGAGGATCAGTCTCCTGCGTGATGTCATGGAAACCCAGGGCATGAAGGAGCTTGTGGAATGGAATGGCCCGGACCCTTACCATGTTCGTTGGCAGATTTTCGTTCTCGAACATAGGACATGGGCATATGCAACATGAAGTGGTTTCATGACTTGTCAGTTTGCGTAAGTCCGAAAGCCAGCAGCAAGAATGAGGACTTGCATCAGCAAAGCCTGGAGGACCTGCGTGCGGCTCTGGAGCGCGTGCCCAGCGTCCCCGTCGCAGCCCTGGACGACCTTTGGGAGCGGCAGGAGCGGCGTGCAAAGGAGCTCTTCGACAGCCAGCTGCCGAGATGGAAGGACGTGCAGATGGAGATTGCGGAAGACTACCTTGAGAACCGAACCGTGGAAGAGCCCTATAATATCTCGTACACAGAGGAGGAGCCGTATGAGGAGCTGTACGAATCTGAGGACTGCTCCTGGGCCCCCGTGAAAAAGACAGCTTGGAAGAAAGAGTGCCGGATCGTGAAACTCTGATCCCTTGGGACGTGTGACAGCATGACGGGCCTTTCACAGCTTCGCACCAGTGTGAGGGTGGTACTCCGCCTGGCTGCGATTTTGACTTTGGCCAACTTGACAGGGCCATAAATGACCTGAAGCCGTGAGTTTTGACATTTGCAGCACAAGGTGAGAAATGAAGCCAGGCATCTGAGAACCTGTAGACGCGAATTTCCGACGTGCAGAGTTGTGGTGGTGCTAAACGCGACGGCTCAGACGGAGCTCTTAGTAAGACCATTTCTTAGAGCTGGGGGTTCGCAAGTTAAGATAGATGTTACCCGACAACCATATTCTCACGAAGAAACCCCACTTGGCACTGCCGTCCTTCTGTGCCAGGTCAACAACGGGTGACAGCACCGTACGTGTGTGTTTATATTGTTTTGTCCATCGTAAGTATGGGCACTTGACAGGGCTCTCTCGAGAACAACACCCCAAGAGCTCCGTGCAGAGGAAGCGAATTATTGCAGGGGCAATCTTGTCGTGCCACTTTGTGGGTTGATGTACCCGAAGCCAGTCACGCCGCAATTGTACACTCCTCCCGAGCATAAGCAATCTTGGCAGTGGCTCTAAGTACACAAATTCAGCCTAAGCCCTAAGCACTGCAGAAACCCCACTTAATTTCGCTGCAACCATGAAGCCCTAAAGCCCCGCACCCTTCGGCTGTGAACGCCGCATGCAGGGTAATGTTGTTCAGTCTGAAGGCTTCCCCTAAATCAGTCTAATCTTTCAGGCCCCCTGGATGGAGCTCTTGTAAAACCAGTCTACAACCTTGTAGAACCACCCAAGAACGGTTGAAGCCCTCATATTATAGAACCCTTCTAGAGCCCCTTCTGATGCCCTTGTAAGACCCTTCTGAAGCCTTGCTTTTTCGATGAGGTCTTGGGGTTTAGCAGTGCCGGACGACATCACGTTGACCCACTGGACTGCCTGACTGTAGGGTTTAGGGTGTGAGGTTTAGCGGGGGTTCAGGGTTTCGGGCTTAGGGTTTGGAGCGGGCTTTTCTGGATTTTTTGTGTGTTCAGGGTTGGAGTTTGGGGGTTTGGGTGGAGGGTTTGGGTATGCATGCTGTCATGGTACTCATCAACTCCGTCTTCTTCTTCTTCATCTGCTTGTCATCATCATCACCGTTACTATGCTCGTACGCTAAGCCCGAAACCTGAACATACCCAAAACCTTAGACCTTAGCCTTAAGAGCCCTCAGCCCTAAACTCATAACCTCCCTCAGCCCCGAAACCCGTACTGTGCAACCTAGGGCGACCTAGGGCGATAGCTCCAACACTCTGACGGGGCCGATGTGCCTCGAATCTTGGGCCCCAACCGAAAGCAAAGTCAGACAGGCCTGACACCCTTGCTGTGCAATATTGGCCTTGAATATTTAGAAGTAAGTGTTGGGGCATCATCTGCTGTGGCTATGAGATCGAACCCCAAGGAACTCTATCGGTAATTTTTCACGCTTGCAGATCAGGCATCTTTATGTGGGCTGGGCTTGTGTTTGGGCTTTGCGTTGAGGGTTCAAGGTTTAGACATGATAGGTTTCATGTTCAAGATAAAATTTCCGGGTGCAAAGAGGAGAGTCGCTCGAGATCTTGCCTTGTCAGATCTTGCCTTGCATAAGCTTCATCAGAACCTTATCTTATGAAACCATATTCAGAACCCTTTCGGAACCCTTGTATCACCATATACATGCACGCATTATAGGAAAACCTAGACCCCAAACCCCAAACGCTAGCGAAACCCCAGACCCTAATCCCTAAAACCCTAAAACCCCGAAGCGCCAAACCCTAAACTACTACTTGCTTAAGAACCCCCAAAAAATCAAAAAACAAAAAAAACAAATATATATATATATATATATATATATATGGTCACGCGCTCCGCGGCCCCCCCCCCCCTCCCCCCCCAAAGGTCAATGGTCCGGATATAGGGTGGGACCCCCCCTCCCCTGTGGTGTGGGGTGTGGGTCCCTCTTCCCCCTGTGGGGTGGTTGTGGGATTTTGGGGTTTAGGGGTTAGATTAAGCTTTTGAATGTTGGGTTTACGGTTACAAGGTATAACGCTTCGAGTCGACAAGGGCTTGGGGAGGATTTGCGGTGTATGTTCTGCTTTAGGCTTAGAGCCTGCAGTTAGGTGGGGTTTAGGGTTGGGTGTAGAGTTTTAAGTACAAGTTAAGGTTACTCAAAACAGGGGCACGCGCGGCGTGATAGGGTTTACGGCTTGCTTGCGAAGGGCTTGCGTATGAGCCCTGGCCACCAGCACCACCCCACCATTTAGTGGCAGCTCCAACCGCCCCGACCCGTTGCCGCACACGCCAGCCCCCCCCCCCCCCCACCCCCTTCCAGACCATACCATTGGGAGGGGGGGGGGGGGCTGGGAACGCCAGACGCCTGACCATATATATATATATATATATATATATATATATATTCCTTATAGGGATAATATAGGGATTATATTTTTTTTAGTATTTTTTGGGGGTTCTTAAGCAAATAGTAGTAAACCATTGCGGCAGGAATGGAACTATCTTTGGACCTCCCGGCACCACCTTCGAGAATCGGATCTACTCATTGAGCTTCGTCTGTGGGCTCGGAACCCTAGTTGAGGGTTTTTACATGTTAGCATTCAAGCCCTATAACGCTTCAAGGGTTTCTGTAAAGGGTTTCCGATAGAGGTCTAGGGGCTTTAGGGCTTTAGGGTTTTAGGGTTTTTAGGGCTTTAGGGCTTTAGGGCTTTAGGGCTTGAGGGCTTTAGGGCTTAAGGTTCACGGGGTTTCGGGTTTCGGGCATTGATCTCTGCAAGGGAGATTTTCAATTCCAGGGTTGTTGCAAGAGTTTAGAAAGCCTGCTACAGAAGAAGTTCAAGCTTTCTTGCTGTGCAGGGCTGCGGGAGTTAGGCTTTTGCGGTTTTGACAGTGGGCTTCACACTCAAACACGAGCATAGCTCGCATGGGGCGTCCAGGGGCTCTGCCCCAATCGTCAGCCCAAGACTTGAACTAAACTAAGCCCTGAACGTACGCCCGAACCTTCGAACGTCACGCTAAACCCACAACCGGCACCTCTCTGAAGCGATAACCAAGCTTATCGAGTCTTGAAGTGCTTCATGTGCCGGGCTCCGTAAAAAGGCGTTTTAGTTTTAGGTTTCAGGGTCAAAGTTTGCAGTTTCGGCTTCCGACGCTGTAACAATCTGCGACAGGCCGACCTATCCGGACACACCTCCGGAGGTTAAATTCAACACGAAAATCAATTTGGGCGCGGCTGGCGTGTGTTAGTGCAGGTTTCGTTCCGGGGATGAGGCTGTTTGGAGATGCAGGGCGTTGCCAATGAGCTCATATTGTCAGCTTACATCATGATCATCACCGCCACCCCATTGCCCCACTACTAAATTGATCCCTTCAGAACTTCACGTCCATCACCATCATACTCATGACATTGTCAACCTCACCTTCATCTTTATTCATCGTTGTCTTTTCCGTCACCATCGTCTTCATCATCATCATCATCATCACCATCATCATTGTAATCATCCTCATCGTCCTCCTCACCCTCATCACCGTCATCACCGTCATCACCGTCGTCATCATCATGATCATCATCATCATGGTGTTCACCTTCGGCATCTTCACCTTCGTCATCACCACTGTCCATGACCCGGTATAGACTGAATCTACGGCACCATTGACAATCTCGCCTACATCACCGTCATCATTCGCAGCTTCTCAACATCATCTTCACCGATCTGCATCGTTGTCTTTATTGTCATTAGCATGCCATCATCTTCATTGCCATCTCTCATGTCGTTGTACGGAATCGGCTTGACTATCCGTCGCAGACGTTGCGCCTGTATCGTCAGCAGACATTATCAGGTTCAACGCAGCCAAGACTGCAACAGTGGTCTGTGTTTCAGCTCGTGCACAACTTGCTGTGATTCATCTTGTCCTGTTTCCATCAGTTTGCCGGCATGCATCTTGACGTGACAGGCTCGAACGTGGATGTCGCGCTCTGAGAGAACCGCGGTTGTGCGGGCTCGGTTTATACTGCTTTGTTGTTGCAAGCCTGGTTACGTGCATGCGCCCACGCCACTAAGCTACATCAAAGGTTATCATCAAGCACCTTCTAATTACTTGTAGCAGTATGTAGCAGTAAACCCTACACCCTGGACCCCACCCCTTATTGTGGCTCTCTGTACCGTGCGGTGTAGGAACAGGCGCGCAAAAAACAAATTATATACCTGTAGGCCCTAAACCATAAACTCTTCAAAAAGAAGCCAAGGCACAGGGGAACGCCTTATGGCACGCACCCTTATCGAAACCCTTACGGAAACCTTTTTGGAAGCCCTTAACACTACAAATTAAACACTACAGCCCAAACCTCTTCAAAAAAGCCGGAAGCCCGTATGGCACCCTTGCAGAAACCCTTACAGAAACCTTTTTCAATCCCTTTTTCCTAATCAAGCACAAGAGCTCCCGAGGCAGCATGATATCCTTATAGAACCGCTTATAGGAACCCTTGAATCCCATTTTTCTACTAAACTAAGCCCCAAAGCCCTCCCCCCCGAGGCAGCGGGTAAGGTTGGCGGGCTGGGCCTTCTTCGATCCTGGAAGCGCCCGGAGCCCGGCTGAGCCCGAAGCTTTTTGGGGGCTTTCCGTCGGGTTTAGGGTTTAGAGTTCAGGGTTTAGGGTTTAGAGTTCAGGGTTTAGGTTTTAGAGTTCAGGGTTTAGGGTTTAGGGTGCGCAATGGGTTGAGGGTTGGGTGTCTTAGCTTTTTTGGGGCGTTTTGTGTTGCGGTGCTATACTTTAAGGGCTCCAAAAAGGGCACGATAAGGGTTCCTGTTAGGGAAGATTCCAGGGCGTTATTACGGGTGCTATAATTGGGTGGAGGTTTTGGGGTTCAGGGCTGTTTAGTTTTACATCATTTAATATCGAAGCATTGAAGCTGCCATGCTTCGCAGCCGAAGCCTGGCGATTATAACCTCGATGGACGAACT